TCTCCCCCCCATGTCCCCTGCCTGTTGTTTTTAGAAAAGCTTTATCCTCTTAGGCCTTCTCCAGGTTCCAAAGAGCAAATATAATCAGAAAATTGAGAAAATACATAAACAAAGGAAAATTATCAAGCAAGATGGAATAATAAGAGTGTAGCCATAAAACAAGTTCAAGGACATTTATTTCCTCCTCAAGGGCTGTAGATAATATCCTGAGCCATATCCTTGAGTTGTTCTGCAGATACTGAAGCCCCCACCAGGTGGAAGAAGTTAACTGCATGCTGACCATCAGCACATAGACCCCAGACTGCTTGGAGCCAGAAAACTGGTAATTGAGTTTCCTGGAATATCACCCTGTCAGCTCATCATCAACCAATCAGAGAATTGTACACTAGCTGATCATGCACTCTGTGACCCTTCCCCAGCCTTTCAAAACCCTTCCGTGAAAGTCATCAGGGAATTCGGGTGTTTGGAGCATGAGCTGCCCATTCTCCTTGCTTGGTACCTTGTAATGAACACTGCACTTTCCTTCCTCACAACCTGCTGTCAGTAGATTGGCTTTACTGAGCGAGGGAGGGTGGACCCAAGTTTGGTATGGTAACATTGTTTACAGAATTTCTTGATTACTAAAACAAACTTATTCTTTTTAAAAAATATATATATACACACACATATTTATTTAGCTGCACTGCATCTTAGTTGTGGCACACGGGATCTTCATTGCCCTGTGCAGGATCTTTAGTTGCGACATGTGGGATCTTTTAGTTGCAGCATGTGAACTCTTAGTTGTGGCATGTGGGATCTAGTTCCCTGACCAGGGATCAAACTGGGGCCCCCTGCATTGGGAGGGTGGAGTCTTAGCCACTGGGCCACCAGGGAAGTCCCAAAACAAACTTATTCTTTTTAAAATGGACACATTGAGTAAGAAATTAATAGGTAAATGGAAGAGAAATCCATAAATAGACACTGGTATAAATAGGAAATGTAGTGTATGGTAAAGTTTACATTTCAAATCAGTCGAAAAGGAAATCACATTTAACAAATGATTTTGGCATAACTAGCTTTCCTCCGAAAGAAAACCAAGCTATTCTCCCTATGTTACTTATATATAAAAATAAATTTCAGGTGCATTTAATTCATTAGACAATTAAAATCCAAGAACATTGAGATTATTTAGATAATTCTGGGGTGAAGGAACATTTGCTTGGCAAGATGAGGAACCTAAGTGACAAAGAAAAAGACCGATAAGTTTGACCACAAACAAATTGACAAATTTCTGTATGGTCAAAGATGCCATAAAACATATCAGCAACTCTAGCCGGGGCCACAGGGAGCAAAAGCACCACCCAGCAGACCCCTGCTTGACTTCCTGGCCTCAGAAGTATGAGAAATAATAAATCATTGTTGTTTTAGGCCACTAAGTTTTTGGGTGGTTTGTTACACAGAAATATATAACCAAAGCACAGGAGTACCTATTCAAGTGAAAAAAGAAAAAAAAAAGCATGCTTTTTGACCCAGCAAACCCTCTTTTCAGAATCTATCTTTCAGAAATAATAATACCAGTGGAGACCATCTCTATGTCTGTTGAGTGGGATCTAATGAAATAGGTTTCAGTACATTTATCTCATGGAGTATTGATTAATTGATCTCTGCAGAAATGTTCATGATTTACTCTTAAAAAAATTCAGGTGGCAAAATAATGTATATACTATAATCTCATTTTAAAAGATTAAAACTAATATATATGAATATAAGCTCATGTATGTTTTTATGAGCTTAGAGAAAAATGTAGATTATATATGTGAAACTGTTAACAGTGGTTTCCTGGGGGAGTGAGCACAGGGTGAGCTCTGGAAACAGACTGCATGCGGACCTTATGTATGCATGTTTGTGTTATTGGGTTTTTGCAAGGAACAGACTTTTGTTTGAAAGAAAAATCCAATAAAATACTTAAATAAAAAGAATCAAAGGAACCTAAACGCACTCTTGTTGTAAAAAGAAAAAAATATTACCAAAGTATATAAACTAGAAAGAGAAATAATTAGGTAATCCTTTTAACTCAGGTTATGAAACTGAGTCCCCCTAAAACCAAGTTCCCTTACCAAGTTTATGATTCATCTCTCCATCCAAAATTTTATTCCTTTTCTTGTTCCCTCTGACCTCAATCCTATGCTCACTGAACACTCATCAACCAGAATCAGATGACTAAAATTGTTGTTGTTGTTAACATTTTTAAAGTACTAAAATTGCTATTATAGATATCATTAACAGGGCAAGATGAGCTCACAGACCCCCCAGCCATGGAACACCTGGCCAGATAATCATAATCCAGAGACATCCTGACTCCTGATTTTCGATTAAGAAATGTGACAAGACAATGATTAACCCCAGCTTCTGTTTTTCCCCTTTAAACAAACAAACAAACACACACACAGAACTCGTAGACCAAGGGGGAGTGGATCTGCGGATTGTCTCCCACCCCCTTGCTTGGATCTCTGCAATAAACCCTTACTTTGCTGCAAACTCCTGCTATCGCTGTGGGAGTTTGGCTTTCTACGCCTTGGGCACTGGCCTTTTGCTCTGTTACAGTTAAGAGTAAACTGCATTATTTACTCAACAGTATGTCAGGGGCATCTTTCTGTGTCAGTACAAATAGATCCCAATAACCCTTTTTAATGTTTTCAGAATACTCCATTGTTTGGATATATTGGAATGTATTCAGTCAATTCCTTATTGTTAGACATTTACATTGTTTTTAGTTTTTCTGATTATAAACAATGATGGTTACCTTGTATATATATATATATATATATATATATATATATATATTTGCCCTCTTGTCTTAGAAGTGAACTTGCTGTCACGGATATGCATATAGCTGGCATGCCTTCTGCAAAGACTAGAGCAGTTTATGTTCCCACCAACAGTTTATGACAGGAGCCTAAAGAAGGATCTGACTAATCATTCTTCATGAAAGCAGCAAAGAGTTTACTTAGATTAGCAATTGGCAATGTTTTCATGTTGCTTTGCTGTACAAAGGGGTGTGGGTAGAACTGGCGTTCTTGTGCATTCAGACACCAAAATTCCTACTGACTGGGGGTGGGAGGGGTCACAGAAGGTTAGCCTAGGAGTCGGGAAATGAGGGAAACAAGTCTTTTGCTTGGAGATTGAAGAGAGGAGATATACCAAAGCAGACTGCCCCAGCTTGCCAGGTTGGATGACTTGCAGTGCCATCTTCTGGCAAAGAAGCCAAAAACGTTCAATTTCCACACTAGCAATAAAGTACTTCTTATAAAGCAGGACTAAACCAGACTGGCAGGAGAACCCGAGAGGTTTTAGGCGCTGGTGTGTTTGGGAGGGCATGAGGGGGAAGGAAGCAGATTTCTTTGAAGCCAAGGTCTGAATCATTTACATCTGAGGTCTCTGGCAGAATCTGTGGTACCTCTGCCATGCTACACACAAGACATACAAACAGGTACTACAACCTGGGGAGTAACTCAGGTGGCTAGACCACTGTCCTCCTTCAGCTTCAAGTTTGGATTCTCCAGTATCTCGGCTTTACTCTAGGGAAGGCAATTTAGCTGAAGGACTACACCGCACCTGATTCCTTATTACACAAAGTCTGTCTCTATCTGCAGCCTGCAAGCCTGCAATGAAGAAAGGTACTCAGACCACTAACCCTTTCAATATACCAGCGAGTAATGCGTACACCCGTTAGATGTAAAGGTGTAGAACCACATTTTGTTTATTTGTTTTGTTTTTGTTTTAATTTTTTTCTCTTTAAACCAAGTTATACTAAAAAAAAAATTTCAAGACTTAAAAATACTTTCTTGCTTTAATCATCCAGAATATACTAGGAATAGGCTTGCTTTTAAAAAACATTCTGTTTATTTATTTATTGAGGTGCAGTCAATGTACAATATTACTTAAGTTTCAGGTGTACAACACAGTGATTCAATATTTTTACAGGTTATACTTCATTTACAGTTATTACAAAATAATGGCTATATTTCCCTGTGCTGTATAATATATCCTTTATCATTTATTTTATACATAGTAGTTGTACCTCAATCCCATACCCCATCGTGCTCCTCCCTCCTTCCCTCTCCCCACTGGTAACTACTAGTTTGCTTTCTATATCTGTGAGTCTGTTTCCTTTTTGCTGTTTTTCGTTTGTTTGTTTTGTTTTTTAAAGTATTTATTAGAGGGCTTCCCTGGTGGGCAGTGGTTGAGGATCCACTTGCCAATGCAGGGGACACAGGTTCGAGCCCTAGTCCGGGAAGATCCCACGTGCTGCGGAGCAACTAAGCTCGTGCGCCACAACTACTAAGCCTATGCTGTAGAGCCCGTGAGCCACAACTACTGAGCCTGTGTTCTAGAGCCTGCAAGCCACAACTACTGAGCCCGTGTGTCACAACTGCTGAGCCCTTGTGTCACAACTGCGGAGGCCCACGCACCACAACGAGAGGGGTCAACACAATGAGAAGCCCCATGCACTGCAATGAAGAGTACCTCCTGCTCGCCACAATTTGAGAAAGCCTGCATGCAGCAATGAAGACCCAACGCAGCCGAAAATAATAAATTTATATAAAGGAAGAAAAAAAATATTTGTTGGATTATAGCTGACTTTTTGTTACATTCACTAGTTTATATTATTTTTTAGATTCCACATGTAAGTGATATCATACAGTATTTGACTTATTTCACTTGTCCTGCTTTTTAAAGCAAATTTAGTTTAAAAATATGGCATCCCTCAGAAATGGCCCTCAAGTTTAAAAAAAAAATCCCTTTTGTGGTATGTGCGGGACGAATTTATCACAGGCTTTACTCCACACTAGCTTCAGCGGGTTCTGTCGGCCGCCGGGCCTCGCTCCTGTGAGTGAGGGACGCTCTGGTCTCCCTTTCCTCCTCTCTTCTCCTCCCGCGCCTAGAGAGCCCGCCCCCGTCCCCGCCTGCCCTTCCCGGCCACCCCCGCTCCGCGCCGACTTCGGCGCGCTGACGTCACACGCCCGCGCCAGGGACGCCCCACCCTCTGCCCTGGCTCCGGGATTTGGGGCGCCGCTTGTGGAGTCCTGAGCCTGAACCCGGAGCGCATCTCCGCGTTGCCGGGTAGCCAGCGCCCGCGTGGCGAGGCTGGGGGACGAACCGGCAGGGAGCACCCAGCCCCAATGCGCCCGGCCCGCGAGGCCGCCGGCAGCCGCCTCTGAGAAGTTGGGGGGCGGCGCCCGGGGAACACCCCACGCCACTGCAGCCGTTGCAGGGGGCTCGGAAACCGGTTTGTTTCGTCCGGCGGCGCAGACCCGTGTCCCGGGGCGTTGGCCGGGGTGGCGCGGGCTGCGGCCCAATGCCCTTTCTGGACCGCGGGGGGGTGCCTCGGGCTCGCTGAGCCCCGCGGGAAGGCGGCGACCCCCGGACGGTGCCCGCCCACGGCCTGGGTCCTGAGGTGAGCTGCGCTCGGGGCGGTGTGACGTGCGCGATGGTGGGGTCGCTCGGGAAACGGGAGAGCTTGCCTCGACTTCCGAGGTAGAGGCTGCGGGGTCCTCCCTGAAGTGCGCGGAAAATAGCACCAGTAGCCGCACCTCGTCAAGATGGGAGTTCTCCAAGGAACCATGTGTGTTACTCAGTACCCTTTGGACATTATTTAAAAAGCGATAGTTATCATGGAATTAAAATAAGAATAGAAGCGTTAGTATGAGTAAGAAGTCATTTACGTTGCTTATATCTTGTCTGCGATCTTTACGTATACCTTTTAACTAGAAAATGAGTAGCAGTTAACTGGCTGGCCCATGATCTTATATTTCACTTTCCATAGTTTGATTCAACAATTTGTTCATTCAAGGCATTGAAAATTCTAGGACTTGTAGAGTTCATCACAACTCTTTTTTTTTATGCGGGCCTGATTTTTGTTCTTTAATGTAAGATCCGCCCCCCCAAGAAGCAGAAATTTTTGTATTGCCAGGGTAAGTTACATCAGAAATAATTATGAAGGATTAAAAGTAATATCCAGTATATGCTAATAATGGCCTTTTCTTATGATGCAGCAGTATTGCAGAGATGATGGAGGGAAGCCAGATATGGAGAGAAGTAGTTCTTTGTTTCTGATTTAGATTTGTCTGAAATTAGAGCATCTGCAGATCTGTTTTAACGTTGCCCGCTTGTTTTTGGTGAGAGGTAAGGAGCCTGTTTTGTGGGAAAACAGGTTTTTGCACGTTAAGAGTCACCACTGGGAGTTTAGTAAAGGTTATGGAACTTGGCCACAGGAGTTCTTTTGAGGTCATTTTAATAATGCATTGACGTTGTACTCCAGGTATATTTTCCTCTGTCTAATCCCCTGGACTTGAATATATCCATTTCATGAATGTAAACCCTTTATTTACATGTTGGTACTTTCACTAGGGAAGCTGTTAATTGTTGTCTGAAGAGTCTTACAGAGAGGAATAGACTTGCAGAGAAGAACAACAAATATTTTGGAAAAACTCTGTATTAGGAATCCCGCTTTTGCTTTCTCCTTTTTTGAATTATGCGAAGTAAGACAGGGCCTTTCCTCATTGAGGAGTTAAACCGAGCCTCTCCCATAACCCAAAATGGTATTCATTATTTGGGGAGAACTATATGTGTAGATCCTGGTTGCAGACAGTACTCTGAGGGCTTCCTGAAATCTGTTGACACTTCTTTACCAGTGTTTCCCTTCAGGACAACTTGCTTGTGCATCAAATAGCTGAAGCAGCTGCAGAGGCTTAATGTTCCAGATTGGTGGGAATACAGCTTTTCATTCATATACTCTGACATTTTTCTCATTCGGTGCACAAAATTTTATTATGTCAAACATTTATTTATGGCTTAAAGGTGTTCTTAGTAAAAAGTGAGGAAAGATGTCTAACTTGACTAGAGGCTAAGATATTTTTTCTGGAGCGTAGTTGACATACTTGAAAAGAGTGATGCCATATAGAAAAATTCGATGGACATTTACGTATTTTATCGTCTGAAATTTGTGTTGGTGTAAAGCAAAGAAAATGGATTAATTTTTTTTCCATATGGCTACCTAGTTGTCTGAAAACTATTTATTTCAAAATCCATCTTTTCCTTACTGATTTAAAATGTCATGATGGTCATCTACCAAATTAAAAAAATTTTTTTTGTATATTTCTGGACTTTCTATGATTTACCTGTCTAGTTCATAATTATTACTGCTTTATAATGTGTCTTGATATCAAGTAGAACAACTCTTCCTTCATTGCTTTTTTTTTTTTTCAGTATCTCTGGCTATTCTTTCTTCTTTTTTTCACATTAACTTTAAAAATCAGCTCGTCTGATCATCCTCACCCCCAGAGTTTGTGTTTTTACTAGGGAAGCATTAAATTTAGAGATTAAGAATTAAAATCTTTCGAATATTGAAACTTCCTTTCCTTTTCTTCCTTCCTTCCTTCTGGGCATGTCTTTTTGTTTTTTCTTCATTTTTTCTCTCTGTTCTTTTGTTGAATATATTCTGCTGGTTTATTTTCCAGATTACTAATCCTGCTGTATGCTGCCTGCTGTAAAACCCATGTAATGAGTTCTTAATTCCAGATATTTTATATTTTAGTTCTAGAAGTTCATTTAGTTTTTAAAAATAAATTTCAGTTCTTTGTTGAAGTTCTCCATCTTTTAAAAAATCACTTTTGTCCATCGTTTCCTCTTATTTTCTTGAACTTATTAATCAAGGTTATTTGAAGTCCCCTGCTGATAGCTCTGTATTTGAGTCGTTCGTGAGTCTGTTTCTGTCGTTAGGACTAGTCTGATTTAGTCTTGCCCTGTATCTGCACAATTTAGGAGTGGGCTGACTGACAGGAGAGGAATTTACGTGCACATTTTTGGCCTCCTGTTCCTTCTCCTCCTCCCCAGGATTTTGGCAGCCCTAAACTCTGATCTCTCTGTCCTCAGCCCATAAGACTGCTGCTTTCTACTCAAGCTCCATTCTGCTGTGCCACAGTTTGGAAAATGTCTTCAGGGAAAAGGCTGGGGTAATGTGGGACTCACTAGGATATTCCCACCTCTCAGTGAATTTCTTTCTGTTCTTTTATATATTTTACTCAGGGTTCGTGAATGTTTTTGGAGGCAGGGTGGTCTGGTACAAGCGCACCATCGTGGTCCGGAACAGTCTCACCGTTCATTATGTCAGCTTTCATTCAGTCTCCCAGACGGTATTTCCATTCTCAGCTGTGATGGGTGTTCCTAATCTGGAGACATCTCTCGCCTGCTGCCAAGATGGGAGGGGTGGTCGCCTGACTGGGAGATGGGATGGAGGAGCTGTGTGTCTGACAGCTTCTTACAAAGTCTCCACCAGTTATTGAGCTAGTCTGTAGTGGAAGTGACTTCCTCCCCACTCGTGGCTGAGGACACAGCTTTCTCTAGTTTCCTGAGTCAGTTGCTGCTTGCTCTTGTGTTTGTCAGCTTCCAAAATTTTATTGCCATTGCTGTCTCTCCTCTTCTGCCTTTCTGATCCTTTCAAGCTGTGTTAGCTGGGTTTAGGGAAGAAGCAGAGGTAAATATATATGTTCAGTCTGGTATCTTAAATTGTAAGTTGCAGTTTATTTTTTGACTTTTTAAAGATTTAGGCTAAAGATTTGGGGCATCTTTTGATTTTTCTGAACGAAAGGCTTTGGCCATCTCTCTGCCATTCCTACTCTTTGTGACTAATAGTGCAATTTAAAATTGTTGAAGTTTTCTACTTTCTGACCTACTTTAAAATTTTTTTCTCCTTGAGTCACAGACTTAGAATTCGTAGGGCCCTTAAGATAGTATTATATTTAAATCTTTAGTGTTTTTAGATGAAGAAACTAAGACCCAGGGAAGTCGGGTGGTTTGCTTTTGGTCACGTAACTTTCCTCTTCTGAATCCATTGCTTTGTTTGTTATATCACAAGACTCTTGGAAATCTTAAATATCAAAAAAAATCTCTAATTTTATACTTTGAATATCTTCAGTATCACATATGTATTACAGGGATTAAATTCATGTCATTGTTAGAGACCTTAAGATACTGTCAAGTTGGTATGCGATTTCCCTCTGACTTTGGAAGCTGAAGCATAGAAAGGACAAATATTTGTTTATAATTTGGGTTTATTACAGTAATGAAATTAGAACAGGATCCGTGTGCTTCTTCAGTTACATGTTACGACTATTTTGGATGTGTAAGCCTGTAGTACATTTTGTTGTTACCTTTTATTTCCTTTGGTTTAAAAATCTTCTAGAGTTGTTATTCAGCTGAGAAGTCTCCTGACTAGGAAGTAAGTACCCCAGTTACATATGCTTTAAGACGCTGAAATTACCTATCTTGCCGTGTTTTCCCCTTCACTTCGTCTGGCGTCCGATACTAGTCAAGTGTAGACTCTGCAGAATAGGGGGGGCTGTTGGTTGCTCTGCAACTCACCTACCATGCCTTTCATCGTCCAGAAAGCTGTCTGCGCTGGACGCTATTTGGTGGCAGTGAGAGCCGTCTTTCTTCATTTCCGGGGCAGTAGATCTCCTCCACTTCCCTGAGGTGCCAGAACACACTGTAGTCCTGTGGTGGGCAGCGGACTGCAGTGCTAGGACCCTCGGGGCCTCCATCTTGTTAGTGCGGTCCCTCGAAAGGAATTGGCAACTCCATTTTGGGGGAGGGCCAAATGGACTAATTGTGGGTTTTTTCTTGGCAAAAGTCACATAGTAATGATGGTTGTGAAGTAGTCTCACTGTACGCTTACTGTTTAATGTAATTTTTTTTGTTTTTTTGCGGTACGCGGGCCTCTCACTGCTGCGGCCTCACCCATTGCGGAGCACAGGCTCCGGACGCGCAGGCTCAGCGGCCATGGCTCACGGGCCCAGCCGCTCCGCGGCATGTGGGATCTTCCCGGACCGGGGCACGAACCCATGTCCCCTGCATCGGCAGGCGGACTCTCAACCACTGCGCCACCAGGGAAGCCCTATTTAATGTAATTTGATTTATGAAATTTAGTTTTCTAAGATAAGTTTATATTTTTTCTAAACAGCATAGTAATGTGATATCATGTCCTGGAGAAATCATTAAATTCTGGCTGGTGCTCAGAGAGCTATTATATTATGCCGGTTGACCAAACTTGGGCTTGAAAATATGTTTGGAGTGACTTTTCTTCTTTAACTCACTAGCGATGCTGTAGTGCTGTCATAATAGTTAATTTCTTGTTTCTCTTACAGCTGCTAAAAAAACATGTCATTTCTTACAGAAAGTTTGAAGTAGAAAAGTTTCCTGAGGTAGAAGAAGGCTCTTTGCCACAAATTTCTATTAAGCATGATTATTCCATTGATTTACCACAGGCAAAGTTGTGGCCTTTGAGTCTTAGAAGCCCAGGATACGAATTTTGTCATTTAAGGAGACTGGATCAATATATTAGAGGCAAAATAAAATTAAATTTAGTATTAATGGGTGAAATAAGAACATGAATTTGTT